GGCAGTAAACTCTGCCACTGCCCACTGCTCACTGTGGGGCCTGGGAAAAGAGGCCACTGACCCGAAAGAAGCAGTCTTTTGATGAACCACTCTGACCCTGTCCTGCCCTTATCTCATCTGCTGTCTTCCTCCTGTGGTGATTTTCTGTGAATATTGAGCTGTGGCCCCTTCCAGTCATTTCTCACACGTTTTATCCCTATCTGTTCTCTGTCACCCAAGAATTCCTAAAACTCTGTCTGCCCATAGTACTATTATGTGGTTTGTGGTGATGGTGATGCTTGTTTGTTTTCAGTGCTGTTTTGGATTTTAAAATACCTTTCCAGGGGTGCCTGGTGGCTCAGTCGGTTGAGCATCTGACTTCGGCTCAGGTCATGATCTCACAGTTTGTGGGTTCAAGACCTGCATCAGGCTTTGCGCTGCTGGTGCGGAGCCTACTTGGGATTCTGTCTCCCCCTCTTTCTACCCCCCTCCTGCCCATGCTGTCTCTCATTCTCTCTCAAAAATGAACATTTAAAAATTGTATAAAATACCTTTCCAATCAGATCGTTAGCATGGTAGATAAAAATAAGGCCATAAAAGGGCTGAGCCCCACAGGTGCTACTTGGTCTTGGGTGGTCACCTCTGTCCAAGCTGCCACTGATCTTGATTTAGTTCTACTGAGTGACTTCAGCTGGTCTAACGTGGTAATTTCTTCCTCACGGCTGGATGAATAAAATCTATGATCCTATAGAAAATATGTCTTTTCTATCATTTTATGGGATTTGGAGTAAGAGATGAGGTTCAATATTTTCACCCTATCTCCTTCCTTCATTATTGATGAACTATTTGCCATGACACAAACGTGTGCCATATCAAAAGTGAGTTGTGTCATGGGCACGTCATCTTACTTGACCTTTGATAGGAAGGATGGCAGAGCATAAGCCCCCATTTCCCTTGGGCACAGAACAAGAACTGGTCCATAATACTGCTGCCTTCTCCCTTGGGTAGACCCTCAGTTCAGCATGAATTGTAGGAACGTGTGTCTTCATTCATATTGAACATCCACCCTGGTGATAATGCCATCCTGCACTTGTGCTCTATTTCCAATATATCAATACTTTGCTTATATTAACTCCTGTGATCTTTATGACAATCGTATTAATTATTCCCATTTTACAGATGCAGAAACAAGGCATTACACCAATCACATACCTAGGAAGTTCCTGATTTAGATCTCCAGTCCAGTTTCTGCTTCCAATCCAGTGCCCTTTGCACTACCAGATGCTGCTTCTCTTGAGAAGAGCAGACTAGAGTTACGGATATTTAAACAAAGAGCATTCTTCACAGTATGTTGTAATCACCACAGCAGCAGGACCATGTGCCATGGAAGAATAAGGGTTGAACAACCAATTTTAGCTGGGAGAGATGACATCTGAGTTGGGCTTGCAGCAGAAAAAGATATAGCAAAGAAAAGAGCATGTGGAAAGTCTTGGAGACACGAGAAAGCCTAGCATTTTGGAGGGATACAGAGATGTCTGGTATGGCTGGAGCAGAGAGCAGAGCCATGAGGTAAGGTGTGAAGAGAGGGGAGATGAATGTGTCTGGAAGATGTGGGAGATTGAGATCTGGCTTCACAGATCCTTGTGTGATGATGAGGGAGCACTTGTAGTGCCTATGGCTTATCTAGGAGGAGATGGAGCTGGCCAGAAAACTCTGGGAGCTCAGGCACGAAGTCTGTTTGGAGATAAAGATTTAGGTGTCAGCATTACATAGATGAAAGGTGGGGTTTTTTGTCTTTTTCCCCAGGGAGAGAAGGTAGAACACACTGAGCACAGAGCTAATGGCAGTAAACAAAAGAATAACAGACCAGAGAAGACACTGGGAAATAATTGGGG